TTATATTTTATTATATTATATTATACTATATTATATTATATTATATTATATTATATTATATTATATTATATTATATTATATTATATTGTATATATATATATATTATATATCAAATTAAATACTTATCATTATAAAAATCAAACAACCCAATAAAATCGGCCTACAACAACCTCGAACCCGGAACCCACGGACCCTGGCCTAGCAGCTAATCCTGACCCATGATTATCAAAGTAAATACTAAATATAGTTAGGTGATGCTTGGACTTCGTCTGCCTCGGAGTGTGGAAGTGGAGCTCCCAAGCTTCTTCGGGGCTGCTTGATCGAATATTACAAACTACAAGTGCAGTAATAGCTTCATGCTCGAACCGCTGCAAACACATATCACAAAAAGTTCTTGTAAGTGCAAGGCTCTAGTGAGACTTCGTCTGCCGGATCCTGCAAAGCGACGTGGCCAATATCTAATATCACAATCGAACCCTGTATTATAATTATAAGCAGCTGCCCCACCCAGGATGTCACAGATGTCGAGGAGCTGACCAGAGTCGGGAGCACATGTTCCCTTGCACAGGACATACGATACTTCGTTGATTGGAGCATGTGCTTGGATGTTTAATTAACTAATAATATTTTTCTGTTCCCACATGTTACATGCAGGCTATGGGAATGTTCCGAGCTCTGCAAGCGAATCCGCATTTCATGCACCTCATAAGTGCAAGTGGGCCCGGGAATTCCGGCGATGCCAGCGAGGCATCAAATGCTTCGAATAATTCGAATTCAGCGGTGCCAATGGAAGTGGAGCCAGAAACCCCAAAGACTGCTGAAACCCCAAGAGCTACGTTGCCGGCCCAGCCAGAGCTTCACCGCGCCGCGGCCAGCACACTCGATGATTACCTGTCGAGTGCCTACGGCGACAGCCATCGGGGCCGTAGCCCTGCATCCGGATCCGAAAAGGATGTGCCCCAGAAGCCTGCATTGGTGAAGAAAACCAAGCTGACGTTCCCGATGGACAACAGTGAGGGCGACAAGCCGGGGGTTTCGGTCAAGGGGGATGCCAAGCCGGAGAGCAGTGCAGTGGTTCCCATGGAGCTGGAGGTCAAGGGGAATAAGCCCCAGAGCAGTGCAGCGGATCCCAACAAGCCGGAGGTTTCGTCCAGCAATGCCAAGCCCGAGAGCAGTGCAACGGATCCCAACAAGCCGGAGGTTTCGTCCAAGCCCGAGAGCAGTGCAGCGGTTCCCAACAAGCCCGAGGCTTCGTCCAGCAATGCCAAGCCCGAGAGCAGTGCAACGGATCCCAACAAGCCGGAGGTTTCGTCCAAGCCCGAGAGCAGTGCAGCGGTTCCCAACAAGCCCGAGGTTTCGCCCGAGGGGGATGCCAAGCCCGACAGCAGTGCAGTGGTGACCAACACGCCGGAGGTTTCGTCCAACGGGGATGCCAAGCCTGAGAACGCAGCGGTTCCCAACAAGCCGGAGGTTTCGTCCAACGGGGATGCCAAGCCCGATCACGAAAGCAGTGCAGTGGTGCCGGACAAGCCGAAGGTTTCGTCCAACGGGGATGCCAAGCCCGATCACGAGAGCAGTGCAGTGGTGCCGGACAAGCCGGGGGATGTCAAGCCCGATCACGAGAGCAGTGCAGTGGTGCCGGAGGTTTCGACGGTCAAGGGGGATGCCGATCGCGAGAGCGAGCTGGCACAGCACATGCGTTCGATGTTGCGTCGCCCGGACACGTGCGACCTGACAACGTCAACGATGACAGCCAACGACACGTGTGATCATGACGCAACGATGACGCATGCACCCGGTGTCCCCAAGGTCCACGTGCTCATCCAAGTGAACGGCACGTGGCAACCTGCCGCGTTAAACATGACTGCAGCAGCAGCAAAGGCAGCAGGTCTCTTCGTCTTAAGCAGCGCCAGCGACACGAAGATGGAAACCAAGACCGAGCCCGACGACAAGAGCAACCCAGCCAGCACGAAGGTGGAAACCACGGCGGAGCCCAACGACAAGAGCAACCCAGCCAGCACGAAGATGGAAACCACAGCCGAGCCCAACGACAAGAGCAACACAGCCAGCACGAAGATGGAAACCAAGGCCGAGCCCAACGACAAGAGCAACCCAGCCAGCATCGGTGTAAAGGTTGAACCCGCGGCAAGCAGCAACGTGAAGGATGAAACCGATGAGAAGCCATCGACAGTGGAGGTGAAAATTGAGCCGAAGAAGGAGGCACCACACTAAGTTAAACTGTATACACATATTGTGTACATGTACAACGACACAGCATCCCCTACATCGACAGTGCTATGTACTATAATGTAGTAGCTGAGCCCCCCTGAGGATGAGGCAACCCGGAAGAAGCGCAAGCATGCCCTCTACATGAAGTTCTCCCGGTCCATCAAAAGTTGCTTCGCTGAAATAAAAACAAGGCCCATTTAAATATACCCTAAACCCCCTAAGCCCTCCAATAAACAAACCTGGAAACACGAAGCCCTACCTATATCACCTAGTCGTATCCGAGGTCCTGCATGCCCCGCGGAGGTGCAGCGCAAGCATGCGGAGATCGTGAGATGAACCCTGGCACAGATTGGAGCTTGAATAATTTGACCTTTTGAAGCAAGGCCAACTTATCGATCGTTGCGGTTATATCTGAGGCAACGACCGTCAGGGTCGCACGCAGCTTTTCGAACAATTTCTGCAACGCAGTGGCAATTGGATGCAAAGCAGCTTGGTTTTGAACCACAGGAATTACCTGAAGACTTCACGCAGAGGCGTGTACAAGTACATGTCTTTCGCAGCAGCTTGTCTTAACAATAACATGTCGAATTGCAGAGTGTACTGTTCTCACCTATAATGATCATTATTATGGATCCTGTCTTAGACGCTGCTGGACAAGTACAACGGTGACTGGGACGCAGCCACCGAAATCTGCGAAAGCAAAGCGGCTGGACTTAATTGAATAATAATAATAGTTCGATTCTAGGAACTCCAAGCCCACTTTACGACGACCTTGAGCCCTGCTTATAACATACCCTTAACGATACCTCCTGCGCAGGAGTCCGAGGGATTGTGGATGTACAATCCCGACAAGAAGGCCCACGCTTGCTGCATTTTAATCCGAAATACTAAAACCCTAAAAGCCCTAGCTTCTGAACCCCTAGCTAAGCTAAACTAAACCCTAAAACCATGACCCGAAACTTTTAAAGCCCCTGAACCGCTGTAACCCAAAGCCCCACTGAAACTTGGCCTTAAAGCCAAATCGAAATCAGAGGACCTTAAATCCCTAAACCCTTATTAAAACCCTGACCGCAAAGCCCCTAAGCCCTTAAAGCCAAAATCATTGGACCTTTATCACTATATAAGCCCTTATAACCCCAAAACCTAAGCCTAAGCCCCTAACTGCTAAACCCCACTCAAAGCCCTTTAAAGCCGACACCCCAATCACAAAAAACTCTAAACTCTTGCTGACTGTTGCAATACAGATATATTAATATAATGTTTATTCTACTTAAGCCCCATATATATATAGTATGATCATAATTTATAAGATAACACACAGAATTTAAATTACGTATACTCCAAAGTACCGAAACCTGAGCCCAGTCCCGAATTCCGAAGTCGAAGCCCAAAACCGTAAACATGCTAGCAAGGACTGCAGTAATTAAATTATGTATCTTAACTGGCAGCCCTACGAGGATCAAAAGCTTTTTTATTGTTGGGATTCGACGGCAGAATACAAAGAAGAAGGAGCCGAGAACAGCATGGACCTCACAGCCTCTGCGGGCATCAGCTCTGGCCACTATCAGGAACTGATGCCCCCTAGATGAATACACGGGTAGCAGACAAGATCTAGATTATGTATATTATATATATTCGAATATATATATATATATATAATATACATAATCTAGATCTTGTCTGCTGCCCGTGTATACCCTAAACCCTTAACCCCTAAACCCTTCACCCTTAACCCCTAGGTTGCACCAGAAGAACCTCGGCGTTACGGACCCCGGCCTCCCCAGCAATGTTCCGGATCTGCCAGCTGGTCCTGGCGAGTGCTCGGGCTCGGGTGACACGAAGGGCAAGGGTAGGGGCAAGGGCAAGAATAAGGGCGGCGACTCTAATAAGGGTGGCCGAGGCAGGAAGGGCAGTAGCAAGGGCAAGGATGGCGCAGACGGCGATGACAAGGATCAGCAGCCCTTGCCCAAGGTGAAGACAGCACTGCAGGAGGCCAAGGGGGTTTCTCGGCTCACCCCGTACCTAGTCCCATCCAGCTTGAAAACCCTCGAGCTCTTAAATAATCAAAACCCTAGCCAACATTAACCCCAACATCCTACAACCCAATAATAAATCCAGGGATTGTATTGATTAATATCAGTGACGTCCTATATAACTAATAATAATTAATACGGCTTCTTAGTTTCGAAACTTTTCTATGTAATATAACTTATTTTATAAAGAATTAATATCTAGATCTGAGGCTATGAACGTGGCAGCAGCTTGTGTTCTGGAGTGCAAGAGCTGGGCAAAGGATCTCAAAGGCTCCAATACGTGTCTTGCTCAACTTATTTTATGTTCGCACGCATGCATTCATGTTTGTATATATTGCTATACATACTTATAATTTTTATTGCATGAGTTAGAGGCCGGAGCATCTGATGAAAGCGGTGCTCGACGACTTGGTGAAGTATGTCACGAAGTTGGAGGAAGCCCGTGGAGAAGTCGAGGCATATTGGGATCTATATATATATATATATATGATAATGGAGGGGTCATATATATATATATATAAATATAACAATAATATATTATAAATATCTATATATATATATAGTAAAGATAAAAAATACTAAGCAAATATAGTTATACGTCTATTATCAACAATAAAATATTACTACAAACTTGTAGACTGGGCTCCCAAATATATATATATATATATATATATACACAAATATATTATTATTATTATTATTATTTTATTATTATTATTATTATGATTAGTATTGTTATTATTATTATTATAATATTTTTATTGTTAATATTATTATATGTACATTATATATTATTATTATTAGTAGAGTTACGATTCCATGCGAAGGTGGCCATTGCGCATGGCAAGACGGAGGATGAGCTTCGGGTGACAACATCGACGCTGGCCACTGTTGTTGCTGAGTACCGCACAGCCTCCAAACATGCTAAAAAACTCAAGGCCGGGTCAGCGAAGGCCAAGGCCGAGCCCAAGGCCAAGTAGTTAGGATTGGAGTGTACTAGCACTTGCAGCTCAAGCTTCATGTGCCTGGGGGCACTGAATGCCTCGGGCCTGCTGGGAGGATCTTAGAGCTCCTGCTGATGTTATTAATGTGAGTTCGATAAGCTTGATTTCAATCCTCCAGGATCGGTCCTTTCCAGGCCTATAGCCTGCATTCGCGGAGCTTGCTGTTGCGACAATCTTGATTGAACCTGGATGCCTGTGTGGTATGATTGCCGTGTAGAGTGTAGAGTCCGAGATGCCGGGTCAATTCTTATACTAGGTACGGTTTCGAATCAGCTACCAGGCAACGGGACTTTTCAAAAAGGCTGGCCGTGTTCTTAGACATGCCAGCTCGCCTGATGCAGTCGATGTGTGCACCCGTGCAGCTGGAAGAATCGAAGTGTGGAAAGCGGTGCAGTGCCATTCCACGCATATATATATATATAATACAACCCCGAGCTCCAATTAATTGCAATAATAATTCAATAATGTTTGAATGTCTAGATCTTTCGATTTCGTATGTAGAAACAACCCCAACTCGAAGCAGTTATCCTTACAAGCTTAAGTTTTCAAATATCGTGTTTACGTATTCCACAATATTAGCCTTTAATATGACAACCCCTAAATATATATATATATAATATAATATATATGTATATCGATATTATATATATATATATATAAATAAATAAATATATATATATATATATATAATATATATATATATATATTCGAATCGAGTTAACATAACGTACGATTAACCCCCTGCGGTCCTCGCCCGCGCAGGTGAAGCATCGTCGACGGCCACCCCCAGTCAGGCCTTTGCGGAGTATCTTCTCGGGTCGTTGGGAAGGGGCGCCACTTGGCGATGTGTCCATTAGTTTATAATTATGCTGTTAATTATTATTATTGCTGCACTTCGTCGATTCAGGTCGACGGGCTTATTGCAGTATTGATATAGTCACTATCGAAATTATCATATAGGGCTCGATTCGAAGTTCGGGGTATTGGTTTGAACATGTTTCGGTAGATTGAAGCCTTAGGTGCCAGAGCAGCCCACCACCGATAATTGCACCATGATCCCTCGAAGCATCCCGCTCCAAACCTGATGAAACTGTACTATACCTGGACACTGAAATTAAAATTATAAGCACCCTGTAACCCTGGACCCTAGAAACACAGCATACCCTGATATGTATAAGGTTTTTAAATATATAGGGTTCGGGTTTAGGGTCAATATTCAGACCTGCAAAATTAAGGCAACGAGCTGTGCAGAGCTACGCAAAGCGGCCGAGGCGTGTGTTGAAGCATCTAGGGACGCACTTAGAAAAATCCGGTTGCGGAAAGCTTGAAATAGTTGGCCTATGCATTTAAGGGTCGCCTCAGGCCCACATGTACACCCAAAACCCCTAAACCCTAGCTACAGTCCCACAACATAGGTACTAGCCATAATCCCACAACCCATCGTAGATAACTCAGTCTATGATCAGCTAAGGAAAATCCGAATTGTTCATCCTTGACAAAGAAAATCGCATCGTGCGGTTCGCACGGCCGTCATCCTCAAAACATCGAAAGAGACCTGTACCGTGCTCTCCAGCTACCCCTGGACGCTTGGATGAATAAAACTACAACTATAGCTACAGTACGGCCTCTATATAATAATGACCCTGAACCCCTAAACCCTGAACCCTATATATTAAAAGTAAATATTTTAAAGGTTTATTATTTTTATTATATTATAGATTATATCTAGATCTTATATATGATCGATCAGTCGTCGTCACTACTAAGGATTTCTACCACATAGTGTTGCCAGTGAGGGACAGGCAATCTGAGACGAAGGGCGCTGAGACTACAATGCGCTTTCCGATGATCCTGCCTCACGAGTTGCTTCATTACCTGTCTGATTCGAGGCACAGTTTATATCAATTTATTATTTTGTGTATATATATATATATGTTTGCAATAATAAACTCTGAACCCTCTAAACCCAGGCCTCCTGCAGTGCTGCCGGGCCAAAATACCCGAGTAATATATGTCATAGATTTATAATATATAATAAATATTATAAATATAGTATTTACTAATAATGTATATATACATAATATATTTAAAATACAACATGCTACATATATATATATATATATTATAATATATATATATATATATTGCCTATATATATATATATATACACCCCAAGTACGTATACAATTAATACCTACAATTCGAATTCGGGGTCTAAAGTCTATAAATAATACTACCAACTTGGGGCTATTATATAGTGATAATATATATATATATATGTATACATATATATAAGACATGCTAGTACACATGTTCATGTTCATGTGTCCTGGTAAGGAAACCAAGAACATCTTCATATCGGAGAAAGACAGATCAGAGTTTTGGAAACATTATGGGACGTACCGGGGGGGGCACCCGGCTTGTGCTGCTGGGCGGCACAACCCTGTCGGTCTGGCTGGAGACGACGCGAGGTATAATCTGGCCGGCTACAAAGTGGTGATCATGCTACTTAGCTTGCCACTGCAAACGATACGATCACTGGAAATGTGCAGGTATCCATACTTCATCTTGCGGGAATCTTTATGCCTCGGAACTCGGACACTCGACCCTGTTTTTCGAGTTGTTTGCTGGTCGCTAAACATCGCCTTTAATGGCCTCTTCCCATCTCGGGCTCCTTTTCCTGGAGAAGCCCTCGATGAAAAGAGGCGACGATTACAAGGGCAACGTTTGAGCGGCGGGCCATACGCCATCGCCGAAGTTAGAGGCGATTGGAAGTGGCACCGGGAATGCTTTTTGGTGACACGTCATTACAACTCGACGCAGGTTTGTTGCTTCTGCGAAGCAAGCAAAAAACGGGGCCCTTTCTCGCAGCTTGGTTCGGTGGTTCTACAATATAGTTTTTTTTTTCTGTTCGAATATTTAAACAACAATAATTATAAGGGATACTGCTGCTGCGAATCCGACTGTACCAGGATGTCAAACTTCAAGGAGTTCCACCGCACAGGCTTCGGACAGATGACAACTGCAGAATTCTTCTTGAAATCCATGGGTCGTTATGTTTGCCCACTTGCGATGCTGAAAGGCTTTCAACCACGGATGATTTCAATATGCTCAATGCACACGTCAAACCTTGGTATATGTGGTTGGGTGAACGCTGCCGCTGCTGTTCTGCTTGCACTGCTGGAGCGGGCGGAGTTCGGCCCGACTAACGAAGACCTTGCGCATCGGCTGAAGGTGGTAACTCTACGCTTCCGCCGTTGGTGTGCTGCGAACAAGATTCAGTGACTGCCCTGAGTTGTAAATAATATGTGGGTGTGCAGTTAAATTTAGTTTCAGTTTTTTTTTTTATAAGTACTTCTATGCGTATATGTATATTATCCGATTTCACTAGCCCAACCAAGGCAAAGTCAACCGTACATCACCGTCGGAATGCTGCACCTGGGTGGCTCGACGGCGCCCGAATTGAGCTTGAAAGCATATCATAGCAGGGTGTTCCTGGCTTTTTTGGCGGTGACATGTGAGAGTGCTGTGGCTGCACGACCCGATGACACTGAGCTGGTGCTGTGTTTGGGGGCGACAAGTGCATTGGCACAGTGGCACCTTTACCTGGAAAGGTGTCCGAGGTATCTGACACAGGAGCAAGGATCTGAAATGGTGCGTCTGTCGCTGAAATTTCTCACCGTTTACAAGACTTTGGCGATTCGGCATGCACTAGCTGGAAGCTTGCGGTTTCCCTTGAAACCGAAGCTTCACTCTTACCAAGAACTAAACTTGCAGATGACGCGCGAAAGATATAACGTGAGATACCTTCACACTTACAGAGACGAGGACATGATTGGGCAGACAAAGTCCATCGTCAGGGCTGTCCATAAAGACCTTTTAGAAATGAGAAGCCTGTGCAGGCTTTCTTTGCGTTTGGCTGCAGCACCTAGGCACTAGCTGGTTTAAATCTGTACGTAGACAACATAGATATGCATATGTGTGTTCGAGCTACATGTGTATGTATTATTATTATTATGTATATATGTATATATATATATATATAGGGTAAGCTGCTTACAACTATAGATCTTAATTACCCTAGACTCGTAGAAACCCCTTATAAACAGTAAAACCAGCCGACTGGGTTGCTGAAGCCTGGGGTCCCGGCTCAATCCGAGTCCACCAGCCGTGCAGGAGCTCGCGAAAAAAAGAAGGCCGTTAAAGGCCGGACCACACCCCCGACACGAAGCCCTGGAAACCACTATATAATAAAACCCCAAACCCATAGGCCCAGCATTGCTCGCAAGGCTTCTTGCGAAAGCCTCGACCCCAAATCCAACTAATCTAAATCAGCATAGGGTTTATAGGGTTTATAATTATTATGCAGGGTTCGAATAGCTCGCCCGAATCTGCTAGGCGGCCACAGTCCAGGCTTCGATATCTAGGATAGAACTCCAAGTATGAGGTCCAAATCTTGGGAGCCCCAGGGAACCCAAAACCCTATAAAGCCCTAAATCCTACGCCCTAAACCCTAAATCCTAAACCCTTCAGGGTTTAGCCGACTGCGGCTTCAGCCCTTGCGGGCGTGGTCGTTAGCGAGGAGTCCGCCAACCCTAAACCCTAAACCCTTAAAGCCCTATAGTACCCATAACCCTTAAAGCCCTAAGCGCTTACCCTTAAAAACCCTATAGAGCCCTAAAGCTGCAACTCGGCTTCCCAACATCGCCTCTGAGCTTCAGCTCTGCGCCATGTGGTTCCCAGAAGTATAAGGTGAATTCGAGATTATATATTCGTCGGGTGTAGCTTCTAAGCTTATAAGGTGGGAGGCTGTAGGGCTTGGCGTTGCTTTCGACAGGTGCACCCAGCGATTTCCAGCCTAAAGAAAACAACAATTCAAACTAAAGCTGACTACTTTAAGTTATCGTCGATCGATGTCAGTGTTAGCTAGCGCTACAGTCACACCGTACTGTACATATTACTGTACAAGCTTGCAAAGCTATGGTAGTTAACACCCTAAATATACCGGGCCGAGTGGCAATATGAGCATACTCAATCCTCTAACCACAATGCCAAATCCTCAAATTCCCACAAGCTCTTCAAACCTGAATTCGAATATAACTTGCCCTTAAATCTAAACCCTACCTTCCAAACTCGGTTCTCGAACTGTGCACTGCAAGCCCTCCCTAAAACCTTAAAGACCAGCAGATAATGAATTGTAGCTTTCCCGGATCGACGTCGTTGCTTTATAAGCTTGTTTTCGAATCATTAATAATGCCTAGTCACGACGTGTAGTCGCCCGAAAAATCACGACTTCCAGCGCTAAATGCGAATTCGGAAGAAGCTCATCAATCTTAACCCACAGCGTTGGTGGAAGACCCTTGTGTTTCCAAACTTAGCTCAAATAACTGCGTCATGAGCATGCATTGTGCGGTACCGGTGCCGTTGCATGACAACGGAAAACAGGGTTTGTCAGAATCTGGGGTCTCGTTTTAATGGAAAGTAGGTTTTGTCAGAATGAGTGGGCTCCAGGGCCTACTTTCGGTTTTGTCGGGTGGAAGTCGGTTCTGAGGCCATGTTTGGCGAATGTTGTCTGTATTTGAGCACTTTGGAGCCTCAGGGTGTTGCTCAAGGTTCTAGCAGAGTACGATCTACAGCTGTGCGCCTGTAGTAAAAGAGACTCCTGTGTGCCTGTGTTCCTGTACGCCTTAGCGAGGGGATACACGCCCAGGTTACATCTCAACGCGGTAGCG